TCGACGTTATCATAAAGAAAAACCAATCCCAAGGTTTTCATCACTCTGTTTATCGAAAACCCACCCATACCAATCGTTACTTGCATGCCAACTCTCATCACCCACTTTCCCAAATTAATTCAGTCATCATTCTTGTCTCCCGATCAATACGGCTTTGTTATGATGCAAGGAGACCCGCTGAGCTCTCTAGTTTAAAACAGGCCCTCATCCAAAACGGTTACCACGAAAATCATAGCAATAGTAGCATCCACAGATATCAATCTTCTCCTCAATCTCAACCCAAAGACTCAGACCTTCATCATACGAAAAGTTTTCATCCTTGTATCAAAAATATCACTGACAAAATTCTTAAATCAAGAAAAATAAAAACAATATTTACCCCCAGCAACAACTTCCATCTATTGTCCGATCAATCAAAGACAACATTTAAAATGAACAACAAGGAGTTTATGAAATTCCTTGTGCAGACTGCCCCCGATCTTATATAGGCCAAACAAATCGTAGAATCCAAAATAGGATATATGAACATTCCATTTCTGTTCGTAATTCGATTCAATTTCAGTTCTAACTCAACACCGTCTTTATACAGATCACAAAATTGATTTTTAAAACTCCAGAATCATAGTTGTTATCCGTTTCTTCTTCTTCTTCTTCTTTTTATGATGCCCTATCCAATTAGTGGATGTTGTCGACAGTTCTGGCATACTGCTCTCGATCTTGTGTGGCTCTAAATAGTGCATGGGCATCGGGGTTTGTCCAATCCCTTATGTTTTTAAGCCATGAGTATAAAACGGAGGGGTGACAGAACACAACCCTGTCGTACACCTTTTTCGATTCATAAATATGATATAGATTCCAGTATTACTCTTACAGATGTCGCTTGATTCATATAAAGCTTCTTTATGATTTTAAGGTCATTCTCATCTATCGAACGTTCCTGGAGCAATCTTACGCAATCCGCTCCTATAAACCAAGAATTATCCGAGAAGCCTTAGAAATTAAAAAAGGTCAAATTGTCTTAATAAAAGAAATGACGGCATCCGGTTACCTTCTATATGGAGACCTCTCATAAAGAAAATATCATCCGCTCCACCCGCTAATTAAAATCCTACTGTCAGAAATGTTCACACCAATCCCCCTTCTAATTACCACGCTAACCTCCACCCGAAAAACGTCACCATCGACGGTATAAATGAATCGTCCGCTGTCCCCAGTAAAAGTAATACATTGGTTAGTGATCAGTGTAGTAGTGTCCCCTAGCGAGACCCTTAAAATCAAGACGTTTCATGAGCTTGATAAAAAATTTGTTGCTGAGGATACCTCTTTAATTTATCATTGCAATTCTCGTTTGTGGTCTAGAGGTAATGTGCTTTGCACTTCTCTATATAGAGAATCAAATATCCTTGTGATAAATTTAATAAATAAAATTATCTTAATATTAATAAGTCTTTACAGGAAAACAATAATCATATCCTGCAATTGACATATAAAATAACTGGGTTTCAGAAGAAGTTGCTCTTAAGGAAAAGAAAATTTGAACGATTTCATTTGAACAGCTACTAGAATTGACCAGTTATTCCAGCATAAAGCTTCAATACGACAATGACAAACTGTTTGAATTTTGGAGCTCAATTTCTTATGAATATTGTACAATCAGCACTGCAACATTAAAGGTTTTACCATTTGCGACTTCGTACTAGTGTACAATTACACACATTAAAAACAATGAAGAGTGGGAAAAGCCCTGTACCTGACATTCTTCCTATAAAAATCCTAAAAATTCTAGATGAGAAACACATTGATGTTTTAATTGTCACCGCGGGGGAACAAATAGCGGTCTGAACTCCTTCTACTGCCTCCGGGTGCTCTGTAGAGGGCTTCGGAGACGTCAACGAATGCACCTCTACCCAAGTCTATTTACTGGATATAGACTTATAAAATTTTCTTCTGATGACTCGTCTTGAGAAAGACGAGTTATTTCTTACATGACTTATATGTGAGAATAGGAAACACAGAGTATAGGAAAGCTAAAAACAAGAAAAGCAGCGCCCCGAGAGCACTAAGCTCTCGGAGAGCCCGTGAAGGACTGACTTGATTGACCTGAAAATCGCCTATTTTTTATACTTTCTGAAGTAGCGATTAGGGATTTCCAGGTCAGGGAGGGGCCAACGGGAAAAATAAGAGGCGGGGCGATGCGTCTCGAACGTGAACTAGTCGCGTCCGAGAACATAATGACACTATTGAACAAAATTTATAGTTCTGGCATATTACTCAAAGAGTGGTTAACGTCGATTTTTATTTGTCTCCCCAAAAAGAAAAACGCAAAGTGTGCAGCGATTACCGCACCATTAGCTTGATGTCTCATGTGCTAGTTACTACTAAAAGTCATCCATAACCGAATACATCACAAACTGGACGTAGACGTTAATGATACACAATTTGGTTTTCGCAAAGGCCTGGGAACGCATGGAGCTCTTTTTTCACTATATATACCGATACATTTACTGATACAAAGATGACTTTATTTTGTGGAATAGAATCTTGGACCTTGAATGCGACATCCATGAAAATACTGGAATCATTCGAGCTGTGGGTGTATAGAAGAAATCTGAAAATGTCGTGGACAGAACACGTCACAAACAAAGACTTTCTGAGAAGGATGAATAAAGAAATAGAAATTTTAAATATAATTAAAATAATGGGATGGAGATGGGCAGGACACATAGCCAGAATGACAGATAGGCGATGGACAAAGAGGTTATTGGAATGGAGGCCAAGGGAAGACAAGAGAAGCGTCGGTTGACCACCTGCAAGATGGACAACGATTTAAGAAGACTCAATAAAAACTGGATAAGAGCGGCGCAAGATAAACGGGGTTGGAAACATGAGGAAGAGGCCTATGTTCAGCAGTGGACTCTTGAGGCTGGATGATGATGATGATGAAAATAATAAAATTGGAATATCTCGGACATATTACACGTGGAGAGAAATACACCTTGCTCCAACTGATTATGCAGGGAAAGATTCAAGGAAAGAGAAGCATACGGAGGCGCGCAAATGTCATGGCTGCGCAACCTGAGAGAGCGGTACGAATGTACATCAAATGAACTTTTCAGAGCAGCCGTCGTCAAAGTCCGAATAGCTATGATGATTGCCTACCTCCGCCGCGGAGATGGCACTTGAATAAGAAGAAGACTATAGTGTTCAAATAAGTTTGAGAAGCCCTGGTATAGCCGACATCACGAACTTTAGAATCTGGTGAATGCGAAAAGATTATGTGAGCGCATTCACCATTTAGATATATCAAAATAACTTGGTAGTTGATATTCTGTGGTTTCGGTTCGTTATGCATATTAAAATGTTATAATGTACCTACTATACTAAACGCCCTTTTAAACCTAAACGTATATTTATCTTTATAACCAAAGTTATCTTCATAACCAAAGTAGTAAAACTAGTAAAAAAATAAAAATAATAAATAATAAAAAATAATAAAAGTAAAAAATGGAGAACGCACGTCAAAATTGGTGGAGAATCAGAAATAAAAATGTGGGATATTTTTGTTGTTATTACAAGGATAATATAAAAATTTTATCTATACTCGTAATATTATAAATTCTATTTAAGCATCTAGAAGAAACACATCCTGAAGATGATAAGTGTGATCGTATTGAAACGTCGTGTTGGACATAAGAATATCTTTTAAGAGATCTGATAAAAATTTAATGCATCCTGTAGGTCGACGCAATAATTTTCACCAGTTAAATGCATTTAAAAGAGGATAAATAATAGAAACGTCAATCTTTGGGAAATCTCTAATGGGGTTGGTAGAAATTATTTTACTGACATGTAATAATGAACTACTTTGAAGAAAGTACACATAAACCTGTGTTATAGTTCTGTGTTATAAAAAGATCTCCAAAGAAAACAAAAGAAGGATATACCAGGCCATTATACAAGATACTAGTTTGCCCACTAAAAATCAAAACGGAAGAACACTTCGTGGCAAGAAAATGGACTTTTGGAAAAGTTCATCTGAAAGATCAAGCCGAGAAAGAGTTACCAATAAGAATATTCGCCCGCCGAGAACATGTCCTTGTCAGTGAGTAGGGAGTATAGAAAAAGTGACTCTGATCCTGTGCTCCTCTCCAACGTTGGTATCACCTGCAGGGACATATATAGCCTTCGTTCAAGAAACAACACTCCAGATTCTATAAGAGGTCTAATTGAAAGGAGCTTCAAGATAACTGATCGTTGGCGAGAAGATTTGGAGATGAATGCATCACTTGACATACGGAATACCAGATGTATCGCAAGAAAGCCGGGGGGTTTTGACCAATCAAGACGAATCTGGACCACACTGAACAGAATAGAACAAACTGTGGCAGGTTTTGTTGTGTCTCTTTTTAGGGGGGCAAAATATCTTCTCAAAACTGCGATTGTGGTGCTGAAAGACAAACCATTAAACATTTAGTGTAGGTAAGCCGCCTCAGATCCTACAGTGGCAATTCGACCGAATTCTTAGTTGCGAGTTAATTCAATATTTGTCAATGTTTGTTCGTAAAAATTAATTGTTAATATTTTCTTTTTGTAAAGTATTAAATATACAAAACTAAACTGTGATAAAGCCATAAGCTTAATAAAATAAATAATGTTTATTATCTACCCTTTCAGGAGACAAAATTTATTATTTAATCGGAAAGAAATAGAGATTTATGAAATGGATATAAAATAAGAAACGCGAAATTTATGATAGATAGATTTATCATTCACTTACGTTATATTTTACTTCAAGAAGTACTATGCACGAAGGTAATAAACATGTAAAGTGTGTTGTCATATATCAAAAACTTGTGTCAGTTTTTCGCTCTCATAAAGGAATTAGGGTATAAATATTCCAGTGTATCTAACTCTATTGATATATATCATCATATACATCAGTTATCTTGGTCCATGAATATTAAATTAAATATTAAAAACATTTGTATAAATAAAAAAAAATGGATTTAAACCTAGAAGTATGTGATAATTTTGATGTTAAAGAAAAAGGTGTGTTATATTTTACTCTGTTGATATGTATTATACAATTAATATATCAATGTGATGATGATCACATCATCACAGTTAGATCTAAAGTTAGATCTAAAGTTTGATCAATTATATCATGGTCACTTAATGCATCATCAACAAGCAATTTTAAAATCGAGAGATTTTTCCTTTATATAGGCTTCTACTTCTGGCACGAAGCAATTATTGAACGATTCTGTAAAAATAGCTGTTTTCACCTAGGCTGTCTTGTTAGCCATCCAATGCACTGACAGTTGTTTTAAATCTTTGCCTTTTAAAGCACTTATTCTAAAAGATTTATTTATTAAGAACCGTTTCAACACCCTATCTCCTAATTTATTGCTACAAAGTATGTAATAATGTTACTAAATCTTTACATGCTTTATGTCCACTTGCAGTTTTTCCATCCTTTGCGATGTAAGTACGGTAAAGAATTTTTTCATCAGCGTTAAATACTTGATTGCACAATAGTCCCCACCTTCAATAATTTTCTCTAACTCCTGTGGAAATATTTTTGCTGCTTCTTAATCTGTAGCACTGTAGCACTCTGTCCTGTAGTCTTGATATTATGAAGTGCAATTATTTTTATAAATCTGGTTAGCCATCCTTTGCTAGCTGAAAATTCTTTACAATCTGGGGAAGTGAAAGTTGGTGGCTCTGACTATTTCATCAACTCATAAAAATGAAGAGGTTTTTGTTGTATTAAATAACCACTATTAAATAACCACAGAGATTCTTGAGAGAGATTCTTGAAAGGAAGGACATAGATAATAAAGATCTGCGAATAATTCTCAATCTATATTGGAATCAGAAAGCTAACATCAAAATAGAAACTGAAACATCACAAGCAATAGAAATACGTAGAGTAGTACGACAGGGTTGCATTTTGTGACCTTTGTTATTTAATGTATATAGTGAAAGCATCTGTCAGGAAGCCCTTTTACAAGCAAACGGAGGAATCGTAATTGTACTAGTTGCAAGAACAGAAGAAGAATTACAAAGATTACTTACAGACATAAATATTGCTTGCAACAATTATGGTATAAATATCAATATTAAAAAACCAAGTATACGGTCTTCAGCAAAAACATGACACAACCAGCGTATATTAGTATAAACGGCACTCAAGTTGAAAAAGTATCAAGTTACAAATACTTGGGAACTTTAATAAACGAAACTGGAGACCAAAACAGTGAAATAAAAAGACGTATCGAAATTGCCAGGGCCGCCTTCATAAAGATGAGAAAATTCTTCTGCAACAGAAATATAAGCATCCCTCTACGATTAAGAATGCTGAGAGGCTATGGTGTAGAGGCCTGGACTCTCAAACAGAACAACATGAAAAATATTGAAAGTTTCGAGATGTGGTGCTACCGTCGAATGCTGAATATTAGTTGGGTTGAAAGAATAACAAACTGTTGAGTAATACGAAGAATAGGAAAAGACCCAGAGATTTTGTTAACGCTAAAGCGAAGAAAACTCGAATATTTTGGTCACCTGATGAGAGGACATAAACACGCATTACTTCAAAATATAATGCAGGGAAAAATAGAAGGAAAACGGAATCCAGGCCGTAGAAGAATGTCATGGTTGCGGAATTTGAGAGAGTGGTTTGGCTGCACCACTAATGAACTCTTTAGGTCAGCCGTAAACAAGGTCAGAATAGCCTTGATGATTTCCAATCTCCGATAGGAGTGGCACAAAAAGAAGAAGAAGAAATAACCACTTAAGTATAGGAATTCTTCTTTGAATTAGTTCCTCAATCCAAATTGTGATGGCTCTTTGTGTTCTTCGTAATAATACATCCCTTGAGTAAGATGAAAATTTGGTGCTTAATTTTGTACCAGAAATTATAGATTTTCTTGTCTTCCTACGCGATCTAAAATTTCAATTTTCGTTTCCAATGAAATTTATTGTCTTTGATGTTTTTTTTTTTCATTGGGTCAAATAAAATCTTAAAAACAAATAAAAAAATTAGACATATGATATTGAGATGGCAAAAACCTCTTCTAATAAAAAATAAAACTTTACGACACTCGTTTGAAACCTTTCAATTCGAAAACCGTGCTGCTTATTAAACTGCAACTTGAAATCAGCAAACTTTTAAACAATTTACTATAAAACGAAGCGCCGCTAAGAGAAAAATTATTTTAAAACAATAACAGATATTTAATTAAAAATCCTTTGTAAAAGGTATATATTTAAGGCCTAAACGGGCTAAGTTAAAAAGACATAACGTTTTCGGAATCCATGTTCCATCATCAGTGTCTAGGAGTACATGAATGTAGCCACCAAGATTAAATATATGGGTAAAAACCCGTTAACAGATGTTTATTTACATTTAGTTTTAAAAATACGTTATAATAATTTAAGATAATAGAGTTACCGATGGATTAGGTAATATGGCAACATATGACTCCACGTTGAAGTTGCTAGTCCTGAGACGGTATGTCTTCGAGGACTGTATGAGTGCAACTGAGTTGCACTCATACAGTCATGGATTCCGAAAACGTTATGTCTTTTTAACTTAGCCCGTTTGGGCCTTAAATATATACCTTTTACAAAGGACTTTTAATTAAATTTTTTAATACATGGTATACAGTCAACTACAGGAACGTAGATTCCTTGTGAATAACAGATATAACTTTTAATGTGAAATCCGCAATTATGTAGTAGGGATATCATGTAACAAGGGAATCCCCGAATTGCACACGCTCACTTTACGGACATCTTGATGTGCATAGAATATTTAATTATAATAGTTTATAATAAAAATTTTTTTATGAATTTTTGGATGAAATACAAACTGAATATAACCGCAACTTTATAATCGCATAAAAATAATCCACGTAAAAAGAGACCTTAATGTACATCAGTTTTTGATATACATTTCCGAATTTTAATATTCTTAATAACTGATTTTAAATTATTGACGTAAATTTCACTGTAACTTATTGGAAGCCAAAACTGTAAATATTAATAAATTTATTTTACAATTGTTGTTTGGCCTTAATCAAATACTTGAATAAAATCATTATCAGACACAAAAATATTATTCTGCTGGATTGTTTGTTTGATAAAAATACCAACTTTTATAAAAGTAACAAACAGTAACACATATTATAACACTCATATTATAAATCTTAATATTGTATATGAGCCATAAATGTTTAAAAGCTTTAGAGGTATAAACCCCATTTTATTGCCCATTCAAATCCTATACGGCGCAATTTTAAAAATATTGCGTTATCATTTTCCATTTTAAAAATGTTTATCGCGTTCCCGGAATAACACAATTTATAGATGGATATTTTTTAATTAAGTATTATCTTATATTTCACGGAAAATATAAAAGCCATATTAAACAAAAACTTAGTTTAAGAAATTCTAAAAAGTTTTTGAAATTTGATCTTAAATTGGTATACGATTTGGCGTAAAATATTGATCTGCCCATAAATAACAGCTTCCAAATAATCTTTTATTATAATTCATCATTATTTATCAACATATGATTACCAATACTTTACCAAGAACATGTTTTGTCCTGGTAACAAACCAAAGTGAAGTTTACAAGTAAAACAAGAAAAAGCTTTTGAAAGTTGATGTTATCAAATTGATACAAAAACATTATTTCAACTGGAAGAGTATTGAAGAATTAAGTTATTTAAACACGTTTTAACACGTTCAGCCCCGGGTGGCATCAATATGATGCCTCACTAAATAGTACTCTTGGGACGGTGAGGCATCGCTCTAATGCCACACAAATATTTTGTATTCGGGACAACGTGGCATCAACTGTGCCCCCACAGCTATATAAATTACACTGTAAGTTGGACAGGGTGGTCCAAGGAGCAAAATAATATTTTCTGATCGGATGTGAGACGGTGTTTACGAAAGATATGGAAATTATAAAACTTTATGAAAAAAATTAAAGGTTTTATTCAGAATGTCCAAAAATAATTATAATAATATAACACCTTATTATTCTAAAACAGTATTATGTGTTGAGAAAAAACAAGAAATACAATAATGTTTTTTGCATTGGTTGCACAAAAATTTAGTGCTGCAACTTTTAAACCCAACGCCTCCAAAGACTGTTGAACTAAACCAATAAATATATTTTTGTAGTATTTAGACATTAATTGTATTTTTGTCATTTTTCGTTTTAATTGTATACTAATTTTTGTTGCAGATATATTTAGAGGTTATTTATGCTTCGTAGTATCCATTTTCTGTATAGGCCTAGTGACGGCGGTTATAGGAGATGCGGCTTCACATTTTGGAGCTACATTAGGCATTAAAGACGCAGTTACTGCGATAGTATTCGTTGCTTTAGGTACTAGTATTCCAGGTAAGGATATCACTAAATAAAAAATGTACTTTAAATATTTTTTAAAATATTATTTTTAATGTACTAAAAATAGAGTAAACCACTGCTTAACTACCACAGATGCCAAGGATAAAACGAGGTCATTATTCTGCCTCAGTAATGGTTTGGTGGAGTGTGTCCTATGAAGGCGTTACTTCATAACATTTTTGTGAAAAGACCGTTAAAACAGCATGTTCCAAAATAGACTATAAATATTTCAAAAAGACTCTACACCTGCGTCTAAGACCAAAGACCAAAACTACTCAACAGTTCATTAAAAATTATGCAGAATACCCGAATTTATTAGTTATGACCATTGGCCCTCAGTCAGACCAGGCCTTAATCCACTCGAGTACAAATCGTGTTGAGTTTTAGAGGTATGTACAAGACGTCACCATAATCTAGAGTCAATAAAATAGACGCTTATAGAAGCTATGGACATTTTTCCTAAGGATATTATCCGTACAGATCAAAAAATGGCCTAACAGACTTCGATGCTACATTCGAGCAAATGGTGGCCGTTTTGAATAATTTTTTGTAGTTTTTAGTTCATTATGTCGGTATTAAATTGTGCAAAACTTTTCAAATCAAACTAATAGTTTAAATTTTTTAGTTCAATACCATATAATATGGGTTGTATAGTTATATACATTCCAACAAGTTTACCACTTGTACTCTTTTACTTCTCCACTATCCATTTTTAGCTTTAATTGTTTCAAAAATCTTCCATTTTCTCTACTCTTCGTTCAACTTTATCTTAATTTTTATTCATTATGCAAATTCATCTTTCGTAAATAAGCGATAAATTTATCACTGTTTGTAATCTCTGAGTTTAACGATTTTGGAGATATTTTTCGATTTCAGCATTCTGGATAGTGTTTTTACCCCTTTACTTCCTTTGGCAATCAAGATTTATTTTCACGTTCAGAGCGACTGTGAATAGCCGCTCTGGAGAGCCATTTTAGGGCGAAATACGTATAAGCGGAAACACAGACGCACTATACGCGAAATCAAATCTTAACTGTCTTTTCCTTTTAAAATTCTTTAATTAGAACTTCTACAGAAGATGAATCATTAAGGTCTGCGGAACTTAATGCAAACATTGGCTCAGAGCAATTGTTCCAGCCAACTATAGGATGTTAGAGCTTACATGAAGAGTTAAACGATAATGGATTGAGACTAATAAACTTTGCAAGCACCAAAAATATGACAGTAGGAGGAACAATATTTCCCCATAAAATGATATACAAAGGAGCGTGGAACTTCCCTGACAACGAAACCGTTAACTAAATAGATTACATTCTGAGCATTCTTCCAATCTCATGAACTACAGAAGCTACCAAGATCCACACATAGATAATGATTACTTTCTTGAAATGGATGAGGGAATGGAGAACCTAAAGGAGAATAGAAATGTGAAGAAATTGTGGAGAAAATATAGAAACTTAATGACTGAAAGCAACTGAAATATCGGATAAAGCCAAACCAGTTAAAAAACGAATTATTTGATAAGGAGTGCCAGGAAGAAACAGATGGCAATAACAGAGCATACCTAATGACAAATCAAGTAGAATGTACAAGAAGAAAAGGAGGAATACCAAGAAGGGCTAAGAAATCAAAACAAAACATCTTCAAAAATCTAAACAAAATTAACAAAGAGTTTAAGCCAAGAATGAGGAGTTCTCAGAAGGGGAAGGAAAATATCCTAAATTATACGGCCACAATCTTGAAGAGATAGGTTGGATTTTTCGACGATAAATTTAATGGTAAATGGTAGCAGATCGAAATTTATACCACATTGAGTAGGTTGAGTAAGCCATTAAAAAGCTTAAGAACAATAAATCACTAGGAACTGATCGAATTTGAAGTGAGCTCTATTGAGAAACTTTTACTTTTTGTCTGGAAAATGAGACAATAGTCTGTTAATAGTCTTAAGATGTGATATGCTAGTTACATTAAAAATGCGACTAGTTTCAGTGTGCCAGAAACCGAACAGAATGGCGGCAAATGTTAGAGCAGGCCAGGAACCACCAAGGATTGTCAAGCCAAAGATGATGAAGATTATGATGAGTATCATTTCCATATACTTAGTCTTCTACTTTATCACGGAAACGGTCAATTCTGTTGCTTCTCCTGTAGCACGTTTAGCTAATACACGCCAGTTACTGTTGCAGGACCTTCAAGTAAAGAGCCTATCCACTTCACATATCTTTTTGTTTTAGTTGCGGGTACTTTAAGTGACACAAGTCATTCAGTTCCTGTTATTACATCAGATGCAATATATATAATACAACTAATTCTACTCACGAAAGTGTAGAAACTAAATTTCTATCGACTTCCACAATAAAAAAATGTGGAACAAGTTTAGCCTTACCCTAGGGCTCAGAAAAGAAAAAGGAAAGCTGATGGAAGAAAACAAAATAAAACCGTGATAGCTACAGACACTTCAAACAAAATGCTATAAAAGAAGCAGACAGCAAAAGAAGAAAGGTTGAAAAATAGAGGAGAAGTAACGAAGAATTTAATTTAACTCTCTTAAAATCATTAAGCCCATACATACAAAAGCTAAAGTCTAGAGAAAACAAGGTACGATGTCAAGAAAACAGCATCTTATTGACTCTTATTGACTTCTGATACCGAAGACGATGAAGTATTATCTCTTGCTTCTAGTGACAGTGAATGCGTTTACTATAGTAAATCGAAGATTTCTGACAACAGTGGGAGAAAATGGTGCTGGTGCATCTCTTGTGCCGATGGACTTACTATCTATGTTCCTGGGTTGAAGGAAGTGCTTGAAAGACGAATGTTTGTGACTTCTGCCATGTTGAATTGTTGAAACTAACTTTGTTACAAGAAACATAATATTTTTCTTTGTCAATAAAACCGTTATTTCACTTTTGTTACCTTTTTCTAAACATTATCTCAAGATACAAGACGTTTCTCTCAAGGTACACAAGCATCATGAGCCTTGGTCCATGGTGCACATATTTTTTTGTAAAATTTTCATAAAATACGACCTTTCTAGATGTAGGAAGAGGTACTGTCTTTACTATAAATGCCTAATAATGGCAACAATCAATAAACTAAGTGTTTAAAGGGAAAAACCCAAAAAGTGGTCCAAGTCCAAGGTACAACGGTCTCCCCTACCTCCGTCCTGTTTCTGTCCATTTTTCGTTTTTGTTCCTAAACATTTAGGCATTTTTTAAAATAAGTAATACCAAAATAACAACAATATATAAATTTGGGTTTTGAAAATACCGTTTTCAAGTAAAATTTGTCAAAACAATTTAAACAATTGAAACAGTAGTTGTTGTTCTTCTCTCTTACTTTAAATTATTTCCTCGTATGATATTCTGTAGGTTTACCTAAAGGCAAACACAGACAATTCCGTGTGTGTATAATGGACAACATCGCATTGTAGTAACAACACAATAAAATTGATTCCAGTATAAATGAAATCACACGTTATATTGGCGTATATGAATGACTATCTTCCTCTGATTTTAATCTGCTCCTGTCATAAAATATCAGCTCTCCTCGACAATATATAATTTGACAAAATTTTTTTATGATTCCCTGTTTTACTGGATATTACATTTTTATGTCAGACGATATTTTTACTATAACTAAACGTAGGGAAATTTAAGATTGAGGTAAATTTTCCAATAATGTATTGACGAACACAGAAGTTGATTGTTCTATGATAACACAATTTTGTGTTTTATCATATAGGAGAAGATATATATAAAAATAGGTTAATTTATGGATATAAATTTGGAAAGCGCTGAGATCTACACAAAATAATTCTTGATAAGAATTTTGTATTTTCTGATAAATAAATCGTTATATACTTTATTTCTTACTTGATTAGTTACAATTGCCAATAATTTTGGCAACGATTTAAACCTATTTATTTATGACATTTTTCTGTTTTCAGACACATTTGCCAGTAAAGTGGCTGCCATTCAAGATAAGCACGCAGACGCCAGTGTTGGAAACGTGACAGGCAGTAACGCCGTCAACGTATTTTTGGGCATTGGCGTTGCTTGGTCCATAGCCGCTATTTATCACCACGTCAATGGAAATGTCTTCCACGTAGATCCGGGCAAGTAAGTAGATTTACTTTTTTTGTAGTTATAAATCTTCTTAACTTATAAACGTGGAAAAAATATTTCAGGATCTTTCAACCGATATGTTAACTATATTTATTGCAGAGCACCGTCTAAGAAGATTTATACAATGCCATTATTACTTATGGAATAAAATTATTTTTGACTGTATTTCAGGATTATAGGCTTATAGGTCATATAATTTTAAATACACGGTTTTCCTTAGTGAAGATTATAGAAGTTATAGAATATTTATTAATTAATAAACCCGTTATAGATTCGGATTACATGGTACAATGCCTTATTTAGGAGCAGTCAACTAGAATTTAACGATGCCTTCTAGAATTGAACGAACTATGGAATTTTTCCAACTGAGGTGGAAGTTGATCTTGGTGCTTTTAAGTTCATTCTCACTTCGGAATGAATTATTCCTCCAAAACGAAATTCTTAGACAATATCACGTGTTCTGAGGGACTAGAAACCTCAAATTATTTTAGGAATGACAACTTTAGCATGGTTCTGATTAATATTTGTTCTATAAGATATAAATCAGATGAAACATTTTTGTTTTTGGGGGAATTAGGATTTCGCCCTATAGTTGCGGTTACAGAGCACTGGCTTGAAGTCAACGAACCTTTTTTGTAGAAAAATAGACCACAATTGCTAGGTATTATCGTCCAAGTTTAGCTCATGGGGGCTCATTTATAGTTTATAAAAAGAATCTTAATCTATACATTCTTTGTATTTATAGATCTTCTGATTCTTTCACGGAACTATTTCCATAACATCTACCATAATCGATTATATTGTCACAGATTTCTTATTCCTTGATTTTACCCTGCAGGACTATCTGATTATGAAGCAGTATATACCAGGTTTAACACTCTTAACAAACCCGACATTTAGGTAAGATTTTTCCCGCTTAGAACTTTCGTAAATTGCAAAATTTATGCTTGACTTGTAACCCTTGAAATATTGTGCCTACCACATGGAGTATTAATACAAGGGGTAGAAAATTGGGGACTGAAACTAATGGGGTGGAAATAAGGCAAGCAAAATAATCGCTACTTGTGTGAACGGCACTCGGGGTTTGTTAGGAGAGCTGGGGTCATGGATAAGTAAATGGCAAAGGGGTTTGGATTGGGGCAACAACAAAAAATTAAATAAGTCATTAATCTCTTGGAACAAACAAAATAAAAATAAACCGGAAACACCTCTAGTAATTTAATATAGGGCGCCACCTTGAGGTGCCTAATTATAACTATTACAACAACTAGATGTAATAGGAAAATAATTATTAAAAAATCAAAACATATCTGTGCGACATTTATTATTGTGTTATACCACAAACAGTTACACAAATACATACAGCACAAAAAACGCTATATTAGTTACAGAGATTCTTAGCAAAAAAATAATAAAGAAAACTTACATGTGTTCTACTGATTTACAAACTCAGGAGAAACTACAAAAACTTACAAAAACAAATGTTACTGTATAAACTGTGGCAAATATAAAAATTATTACAAATAAAAAAAATTATCTTACTGGCTTAAACAATGAAAGCCATTATTTTTTTTAATGTCTATCTTGACTTTTTGACACAGAAAAAGTTACCTGAACCTCACTAAACTTCAATCTGCATGTCTGGGGTCGAGAACTGGAATCATGCTGGAACTATACTCGGGGCAGATACAGGATGACGATCAGGAATAAGAAGATGAGGGCGGAAGCCAGCACCAGCTAGAGCACAACCTTGAAAACTCGTCTCCTTCAAAGGCTGGAACAGGCACAGCACAATGGCAACATGAGGCCATCTTCAAAAACTAATGTAAAACTGCTCAATACCAAGTATCCAACTGCTACTGTCACTTCATGCTACATTTCTATGACAAGAAAAGGAAAACGAAAAGATTTCGAATTTGAAAATAAATGAGGACTCCAACAAAACTGAACACGTCTTGATCAGCGGCCGACTTTACCGAGAGTAACGAAATTATCCCCAGAAATTGATCGCATAACTTAAAATAACAAAACACAACGGAAATTAAAACGTAGATTATTAATTTGAAAACGTAGTACTTCGGGCAGCATAAATCAAATAATATCGAGCAAAAGACGCAGCCACGAAATAATTAAACAACTCTAAAATGGTTTTTATTACTTGAGGCCGCTGAAAAGAACGAAATATTATTTGGGTTTTAATACGTACGAATAGGCAACTGAAATGCATTAAAAATACTCTTCGATTTTTCAAACATATATGAGGGGATTTCAATATATTACATATACGAGGGGATTTCAATATATTTTAAAGAATCAATTAATTGCAAATGCTACAGACTTCTGGGTGGCACTTTCCTTCCGTGTACGTGAACTATAATTTCAGTGATTTTTTAGATAGGCTTGTCTATATTTTCAAGAAGGCATTTCCCTTAATTACAATTCAGTAAAAACATCACAAACCCTGAACTGACAAAGGTATCCGCATATCAGCCAAGAATATGCGTTCACGATTGTACATCAAGAAATTTACTGCCAACGTCTTTGTAACTGTATATAGCACCAAGTACAGAGGAACCTATCTAAACTAAATCAGCTAAAAAACGCACTATCAAAATCGTCTATACTACGTTCCACGTTTAGAAAATAACATTGCGAAGATAGGCCCATGTATTTCTTATGGACGATAGCAATGCGGCGTTGCCACGACACACACAACCACAATTTAGGGTTGTATAATTTGTATTTTCGTTTTCACAAACATGAATTAAATTAATGTTTTTTAACGTAATTGACCAAAAGTGCCCATTCGAAACAAGAGATGAAAAGTAGGGAAAATGATTTTAATTAAATAAATAGTATTTACAAAAGATAATTTTATTTTATCTTATTTTAATTATAGTAACGGCAGTTTATTTGTTTTTCGGTGAGAATACGATATGCCATGAATCATATAAATCAGTAGAAAATATTGACCGCTTGGAATGTGTATATCTAATTACTAATTGCAACTTAAAATAATACGATGTGCGTATGTCAGCTATTTTATGTCGTCTCTGACTACATAATGATAATAAAGCTTTTATTTAGTAGTTATTCTGACTTTTACAGTTAAATGTTAATTGAAAATGAAAATTTAAAAATTAAGCAAAGGGAATATCTTGGACATCCGTGCAAAAGAGAGTGTTTGAGAGTTTTGGCAACACTGATCTCCATAAGCGTAATGTTATTTTCTTAACTTGAAACAAAGAATAGGAAGCCCTAAAAATGTTGCAAAAGAAACTTGGTTTATAATAAGTCATCTTATAAATAAAACTAACACAGCTAAAAACTTTTTCTCTTCCCAACCCCGAAAATACAAATGAATACTTCGTTAATGTGAGTAAAAATATAACATCGACCATTTTGCTTCCTGTATCCCCAATTCAAAAAAGGTCTCAAATTTATTCTTTATAAGACCAGTTGATAAGTCTGAATTGATTGAAACAATCAAGAGTATCAAAAGCAAATCTTCCTCTATGGTCTGTTTTTAAACCAGGAGGAGTAATTCAAATTTTCCGCGCCATAATGCTTGTTTGTAATTGGTCCAAGCGCAGGCAAGTTTACTCCACTAAATTATAACATATTGACACTAATGACATTTGTGAAATTTTAAAATTCAAAATTTATATCGACAATTTTTTTATTTTCTGTGTTATTTCTTACATATTTAGATTTTTCGTTTGCATTTAAGATAACAAAATGGATTCAAAGCCAAGTACTAGTGGTAATTATTCGTCTTCACCTTAAAAACGCCGGGTAGATTTGGGTCATTTATCATCAAATGAGAAATAATGTAATATAAACATGTACAAACACGAAAATTGATAATTGTGGAATAAAAATAACAGCCACGGTAGTAAAAATAAAATAGGCAGCAGGTTAGTTTTACAGAATAGTTTTTATTAAAATCAATACTTACTAAAGTAATGCGCTAATTTTAGGTTAATTACTATTTATAACTGGGAATAAGCCACAATTAAAGATAAAAATACGTTTATTGACGTTTCAATTTCCAATTCGGAAATCGTTCTCAAAATACAAACAGTATTGTATTGTTTGTATTTTGAGAACGATTTCCGAATTGGAAATTGAAACGTCAATAAACGTATTTTTATCTTTAATTGTGGCTTATTCCCAGTTATAAATAGTAATTAATTTACAATGCCACAAGAAAATAGCTTCAGAACAATACTAATTTTAGGTGTTTCGAATTCAACTATTTACCGAACAATAAAAGAATATAAGCAGACTGGAGCAATGAAATGTCCTAAAAATATTGAAGGTCGAGCTTATATTCTTGCAACATTGGATGAAAGAGTTAAAACATCTATACGACAGATAGTACACAGCTTCTTTTTCAAGAATGACATGATCACTTTAGGTAAAATTTTAAGTGAAATTAACAACCGCTCAGATCTTCCAAAATATGTGTCGTCCATTATTATATAAATTCTTGAAGCAAATCAATTTGAAGTAAGTACAAATATCGGTATGTAAATATGGGTTAGCTACAATTATATAGCAAAATTAACTAAAACATTTTATAGATTTCATTTTTATAATCAGGTATATTATTGTTACTATTAAATAGTTTTTGTAATTAAAATTAATGAGCTACAAGAAGTGATTGTAATAGTACCCTTCTTGTTGTATCAAAATATTTTTCCTATTTATGGACATAAGTATAACACCCTTTGTGTTACATGTTTTTGGAAACATACCAGTGTACAAATATTTTCATTATCATATACTTGGTATGTTTGATGATTAGTATACTAAGTAATGATCTCATAAAGTAAGTTATTAAAAAAAATTAATTTCAAGTTTTTAATTGTATACTCTACTGGAATGTTGAAGTATTTTGGTTCAACATATATAAGAACATGGAAAGGGAAGAAAAGGAAAAAAAGGATATTTTTACTTTACATATAAGCAGATTGATTGCAGCAAATATTACATAGCATAACTATAGATTGTTTATCTTACTGTTTATAGGATGATTGATTTATTGTCTATATTATGAATGTCTTACCATAGTTATTTTTTAGGGGAAATTATTCAAAGAATAGTTTATACATTGGGCTGCTGACCAAAAACAAAACTTTCTTGCTCGCATAACTGAAATAGATTCAGTTTTTACTGAAAAAATAAATCAAGAAATTCAAAATGGTGTAGTTGTTCATGAATCTCAATAAACATAAATGGAAAGGATATTTTGGAAGACTAATAAAATTATTAAATTTTTATTTTTACATTCATTCCGAATATATATTATGCACATATAAATCGATTTCTGACTCTTTAAGTTGTTTTTGTAATAACTTGGACTTGGTGATAAGCGAATAGTATTTAATGTAATATTTTTCTAGCTGATATTTATAATAAATATAGTTTACAGTGTATATAAATTTATAAATGTATATTTATATCCTTTAAATTTAGTGTATACTTTAAGAAGCATTTTCATTTTGTTTTCATCACAATAAAAGAACATTAGTAATGTTGTGTTTTACTTTGATTGTATTGATACAGTTGGTTTTGTTCTTCCTGATTTGATCATCACAAGAAAACTGTAAAATTATACTAGAATGTAACATAATAGATTGAATTTGTTGATTATCTCACAGAAATCCAGTATTTTTTAGTAATTTTTTTTATTGATAACAAATGGAACAAACTCACTGTCAAAGTTAAACAAGAATCCAGCGTTAAAGAAATTCCAAGTACACACTTATTTATACAAATTTTACCATGCATGAGAAGTAGGACCACACCTATATTTGAACCATAATTCATTATGTGATATGAAACATGAAAAAGTCAATTCTAAAGCAGTGAATGGGAAGGAATATGTAAAACAAATTGGCTGAAGCAATTCAGGAGATTGGATTATTAAGCTTAAAAATAATGAATTAAAAATAATTAGTAAAGTCAAAGTTAATTCTTCTGGTAAGAAAAAAACCTAGACTCAAGAAATTAATCACACCAGAATAAGAATATGGTCTACGCAGTTAAAAAGAACAGTATTTCAGAAATCTTTGAACTCTTAACTTTTTGATACATGCATTTGCATAGCTTTAAGTACCATCGACTCAAAAGATCTATAAAACTGGATCACCCGATATTTAAATATATATACATGGGACCAAATGTGAAAAACGTTCTTTTTTTATTGTAATAATTGTAATATATATTAGAAGTGAATTCAAAAATATATTATTTAAACATAAAGTTAGGTTAGAATTGATTTGTAAGGTTGTCCGATTACTCGATTACCGCAAGGCCGAGATATACAACAAAAAAAGAAGATGTATTTGCTGACTTTTCTAGTAACTTTCTTGGGTGTGAATCTGTCTTTTTGGTTTACTCCTCCTGGTTAAAAAACAGAGTTTAGTACTGATGGACTATCCATAAAAATTTTCTTAAATGCCCCAAAAAATGTGTTGGAAGTCCTAGTCTCACGAATAAATGATTTTTTTGAAAAAGGCACCTATATCTCCAGATTGTATAAAGACAGCCATTATTATTACTGTTTATAAGGGTGCTGAAAAATCGAATGTCTGCAACTATAGACCTATTGCCTTACTACCAGTACTTTTCAAAATGATGCCAGACTTGATATGATAAAAGCAATCATCCGTCATTGTCGTCACCGTCATCTTGTTGAAGCAATACTGTCTCCTCTCGTTGTTTGTGGTAGTTTTCAGTTTGATTGAACTTTAAACTACTTATATAATAGAATAGTTTTTTGCGCAACAAACTTATTATTGTAGAAGGAAGGACGCTTACCTCGAATGTTTACATCGGGAATATTTTTGGGTATTTCGCTCTTTTACAGGTCCTTTCAGGCCTGACCCCATCGATTACTCCTTCCATGATCCACGGGCAATGTACAATAAACAATAATATAAAATAAAAAGTAAAATAAAAAGTATATACACTGCAAAAATTATTTAAGGTTAGATTGAAACTGAGGGGGAGAGCATGAAGTATGGAGCAGAAAGCGTACACAAAAATCGCGTGATGAAGAGGCGAGTGCTGATGGGTTGAGACGCGTGGCTGTGCCGATGATTTATCATTGACTCTGATGCTCTGAGCTTTAAATCCGCAAGAGCCGAGTCTGTCACGCAACTTTTTCATAAATAAACAGGGCTTCTCATGGAGAATACTATTTTAACATAAAATAAAAACCGGTCGAGATAGTCTGAAGTTATCTTTGTAGCTATGCTACTCGTATATACATTTATTATTATATTTGTTTTTAAAGTTACAATTTGGAAATCTATGAGCAGCTTTAATATATTGTTGTTTGATCCCTATCGTTATATTGTCAGCTTGTTAGTTGAAATTTCTTGCAGAGCAGTTAACGTTTTGGGACAAACAATGACATTGTATTTCATTTTTTTGACATACCTATTTTGACTACCTTATTCCAATATCACCTTTCAAGAATTGGAATCATTTGAAATAGGTAATAATAATTTTAAATATTTTGGCTTGATCTATTAATATTTTTAATAATTTAAGATATACACAAAAACACGACTCATTTGTACGTGACGTTGTGTCAGAATATTTTTAATATCGTTTTAAAACTAACTTAATTTGTCTTTTTTTCAGTCTTGCCTTCTCTGTCACAATATTTTGTACAGAAGCAGGTCTAGTAATCATCGTCCTAGTTCTTCGTAGATCAAAATACATTGGAGGCGAGTTGGGAGGGCCGACTTGCATAAAATATTTCACTTCCGCCGTATTTTTCAGCCTCTGGATCTTATATCTCATCATGTCGTCCTTGGAAGTTTACGAAGTCATTCATGGTTTTTAAATACTTTATCTTGGTAGATTTATGTTATGAACTTCTAAAGAAAATCGACAGACTTTAAAAATAGCAAGGGCTAGACTAGTTCTTATTGATGCCATTTTAATAAAAATATTTGTATTAAATGTAAAATAACTAAAAAAATTTAAATTTGTTTTGGACTGTGTCATTGTCCAGTCAGTAAAGCATATACTTAATACGATATTATATTACATGCATTGACAGATAATTAACCAATTATAAAAAATTAGATTAATAATTAAAAGAAGCATGAAGAAGTAAAAAAATTAAAAAAGCATGACGTTCTTATTAATATTTAAGTTAATACATTTTGTAGTTTTTCAAAAGATGGTGAAGGAACTAAAGATGCTGGAACTAAATTTATTAAAAAGTTTTCTTTGCATTATTATGAAAGAATAAGAAATCATTGCGAAAGGGACCTAAATGAAACCCAGTTTTGATCAAGGAATGTGCGGCGTACCCATGAAGCATTCTATGGCTTAAATGTACTTTGCCAAATTTGAGCTGACTGAAGTAAAGATATTTATGTGGCTTAGATCAATTACGAAAACGCTGTTGATAGGGTACACCATGTAAAGCTTTTGAAAATACTAAGAACCAAAGGCATTGATGGTAGAGATCTACGTATTACAGAAAACTTATATTGGAAGTAGAAAGCAGTCGTTCCAGTTGATAGCAGATCCACCGACGAATGTTACATTCAAAGAGGTGTCAGACAGGAATACATTCTATCCCCGCTAATAAATATCTACTCGGATATCATTTTCAAAGAGGCTTTGTAAAAATAAAAATAAAAAGTAAATTTTTCAAAATGAATTTGAAAGTTTGAATGCTCTTCTGTATGTCATACAATTTTCAACTATCTGCTGACTTCACTTTGGGCCTTACATAATTTTAAAAATTATTAAAATGTTTCAAAAAAGATTGTAAAATTGTTGTTCAAAAACTATTTGATTGATTTTATTAAAATTTTGTTTGGTAATTAAACATATTAAAAATATTCCTTTCGCAAAATATAAACGGCCTATATATAAGTTTAATAAACAAAAGCACAAAAAAGCTTTTTTAACTACGTTTTGTGATTTTTAGTATTTCTTCATTATTAATAATAATTTTTACGATTTTTAACCCCATTTATCTTATGTAAAATTTAATTGCAAAACTTTTATTATTTATTGTTGAAAATTTTTCTAAAAGCAGTTGTTGCTGAGATATAAGAGAAAAAACGAGGAAAAATTGTGAGTTGTTTTAATATATTGTTTATTAAAAAGTTACCAAAACTAAAAAAACTCAGATATAGTAAAATTATGATTTCTAGTGATACTTGGAAGCGATTTGTGTAAAAGACTAGAAGTCCAACTCAAAACATATTCTGTGTGCTCTATACGGAATTATTTGGCTCTGTGTTTGTTAAGCGGATAATCCAATAGCTTATAACAAGGGCACATCTCACAAAAGACTAAAAAACAGTAAAATTAAACAACTTAGCAAATAAGATTATGACGAGAATAATTTTGTTTATTAAAATAATACTCAATAATGTACACTATTAAGATACTTAATAATATTTAATATTACTACTAAATATATTTTTGGGTAGCTTTCTAATCAAATAAAATATTAACATCTATTTTAGAAATTCTTTGACACTTGATTACAAGTTTATTATAATGTAAATTATGAAAATGTAAACATCTAGCCAAATACAAATAATATGTGTTGAATTGAAAATTGTTTTCAATTATGTGTTCTGGCATGAACTTTGAGCACCTTAAAAAGACATGCATTAGTTCCGGTATTGCAAAAATATTATATGTATTCGATAATTTCTAGTTTTTCTTAAAAACCGTCGACGCCTCTGACATTTACTTTACATCTGGCTGGCTTGACAATTTGCCTTTTTTAACTCTGCATTTAATCTTTCGAACAATTTTCTGTTCTTTGCAGACGTCATTTAAATTTATAAAGCGCCTATCAGCTGTTTTTAAAGTTGGTCGAGATTTCTGAAACAAGAAGGTTACTGTCTTTTCAGACATACCCTTTGATTCACTGAAAAATAAAGTAAAGTTGAGTGAAAAAGCGGTATGTGTTTGTTGTTGTGCAGCTTTTTGCCATTTTTTGTTGTTGAATAGCAAGGAAAGTATATTACATGAATACACATTGTTATAATAATATTAAATGTTTTTTATAGAATAAAAACTTTTTTAAATCATCCTATGATAATTATACCAGTAATGTCACACCTTTTAATTCAAAATATATTATAACGCTTGGTCTACTATTTATTAGTTATTCTTATGCCTAATGTGAATAATAATGCAATGATTGATTGCAAGTTTTCACTTATAAATATTGCGTTTTTTTAATTTATTCTTTTGCTCCCTCAAAAAAGTTTCTACATGGTATTCCTTATTTTTTAAGATTTGATCTGTGTTTTCTAGACATTGTAACACTTAGTGAGTAGTTCTACTAGGAAATAGTCTTGAGACACTGATATATTTCGTATCTTCAAGGCAGCCTTGCTCAGTGGTTGGAGATAATGGGCGTGGTCGTTTAGAGAAGTATAAAACACGTGAAATATATATAACCAGAAAGGAAAAAAGATAGGAAGAATACATATTTGTTCAAACAAAAACAGGCTATTTTTAAATATGTTATTCCCAAAAAACAGAAATGGGATTCTCATCATACAAAAAGAAAGACTAAATAAAATTCAGGCAATTTAACAATGTAAAAAATTGTATTAAGTGTACTTCAAGAGTTTAAGTTGTAGGTTTGGTATTTTGACCTACATATTCCTCGCTGAAAGTTAGTTCTGGCCCTGACAACCTAAACATTGGTTTCTGTATGTTGTACTGTTGTCATTGGATTCAATGTTCCTCCAAATGGCTTGGTCCAAAATTTCATAGAACTATATCTTACACTAACATAATTAGAACAGCATAACATTTACTATTTGGAAATACACTCCAATAAAGTCATCGAAACTTGATATTTTAATTTAAACAATAATAAAGTAATACTAGTTCTACTTCTGGCAAAAATTTAAAATGTACTCTCAGTACCGGCATGTAAGTAATGTTTATTTATTTGCTCATTTATTAATTTATTACAATCTAATAGACTATTTTATAACAATTTATGGGCCTTACCTTGTCTGTTTAAACTTTTAAAACTTTTTATACATTTTTATACAACTTACCCTTTTTGAAATAAAACCACAGACATGTAATATTGGCATAATTATTGTAATTTCCAACATCTACTTTGTTTATCTTTATTAGACAACACCCTAATATGGGTTTTTATCATTTCAGCATTTATTTAACTTTGTATCGAGACCTGAAGATGCTTTGCATATTGTAGAAAGCGAAACCGGTCGTCTGATAGTTAAATTAAATTGATTGTGAGTAAGTCTTATTTATTATTTTTTTACCTATTTGAAATGGACTCACACAAGCAACACATTCATGATTAGACCAGAATATCTTTTCCCACTTTGAATGCGTGGTTGATAAAGTCATATATAAACATAAATACTTTCACACACAAAAATAAACAACAAAAACTGTCAAAAAGCATCTAATCGTTCTCTAGCTCGTTGTATCCTCTTAGCATTTGTGGATTTATGAAAGAATTTAAATATTAAAAAATCTCGGAGTTAATGATTATAAATGGAGTGAGAAAATTTTATCAAAAGACCAAACATTCACACATCATATTCATGAATTTAAAAAAAATAAGGGTAATTGGTCCAATATAACATTAGATATTTGTAGAAAGTACACCTTTGATTGTGGTCATTTTAGCCGGAAATATTATTCCAAAGTTAACACTGAAAGATATAGCTTAAAGAATATGGTTATCACCAAGATAAACCATATAGAAATCCACAAAATCAGTCTGTAAATGTTTTTTAATTTACAGTATAAAATTGTTTGTATTAATTTATGCAAAATATGGTTCATTGATGTCTTTAGTGGTAGACAAAACCATAGATCTATAGTGTGTACATTAGTTTTCCTTAAAAATTTGTCTCAAGAAGACATTAGAAAGGAACATTTTTAATATCGTTTAAATTATTAAGCATTTAGTCGACTGAATGATCTTTTTTGGAAATCTGAAATAGGTTAACACTTCATTAAGCTTTAAAGTTTAGCTGTATTTCTCTTTAACAGTATCAATATTTTATACTGGCTTTAAGAAGCTGAAAAAGTATAATAAAAGACACTTATATCTTAAAAGGTTGACTTTGGATAATATTTCTTAAGTGTTAGATATCATAAATGTGATAGGTGTTTTAAACGGGGATGAATACTGATATATTGTAGAAGTTTTATTTTAATTATGTTATAAATAAAGATACCGCTTATTTATATCGCGGTTATAATACATTGTATTTACTATTGTATTGCGTACTAAATAGGAGAAAAAATATTATATTAAAATATGTATTTTATATGTTTTGTATTCATGTTTTACCTTTTCAGTGATTTTAGCAATTTTGTACATCATATAAAGGATATTGATATCAAGATATAATAAAACATTTAAGCTCAAGATGTTTTAGTAAAATATTACTTATTTTCGTTTAATACGTATTTTGTCAGGAGCTGCTGACAAATCTACAAACGCAGCAGAACTATTTAGTTTTCTTTAGTTTTAGTTTTCTTTGAGAAAGAGCTGGTTCCTAAAAAATTGATAAGACTCTGAGTAAGATTTGATCATTTTGAAGGAACATAACACTCTCGAAAAAAAAGCAATGGTCTAAAAGACAAAAACTATACTAAATTTTGGTATGGAAAAATTAAATTAATATTTTGTAATCTCCATCAGCATTGATAACAGCTTGTAGTCTTCGGTCCATCTGCGTGAAAGGACCTATTAAATTGTCTTCTTCATATAGCTCTTCCCAAACCTGTTGTATACCCTGCCACAGCTCTTCAGCATTTTGAGGTATAAAATTACGCCGATACAACCGTTTTTTAATAACCCTTCACACATTCTCGATTGGGCTTAAATCTGGACTGTAGCTGGGCCATGGTAAGGTTTCAATGTTGTTATTTTGGAGCCACTGGTTTATTATATTTGCAGTGTGAACAGGACAATTATGTTGTAAGAGGATAAAATTATTTTCTGGATACAACTGTTCTACACTGGGAAACATGATGTTTTCTAGAATATTCTAGAAAATTCTAGAAAAT